AACGTTAAAAAAAATAATAACATTAAAATATTTCGAAATGTATGTGTGTTTTATTTCAGATGTGGAAGAAATACTTTATAGTTTATGCTGAGTTGGATTGATTAAGCTCATCAGCGTTGTCTGTGTTGGACTGAGGACGTATTTCCGCCTCAGGGCGCAAAAGATTGCGCCCTGAGCCGTCTATGGACTCTCGTTAAAAGTTGTACATGCGCAGTAGCTCCTCTTCAATGCAAGAGATAAGACGATTTGGGGGCGCAGGAGAAGTGCGCCCTGAGGGGGCGGGATCGCCCGCGACCTGTACTGTCACTGTCTGTGACGTCCGTTTACAGTGATTGACAGGTCAAGCTGTGGGAGTTTGAGACGAACGTAAAGAGACGCAAAATGGAGAACGAGAAAAAGAATAATTCAGTTAGATCACTCAAAACAATACCGTTTGAGAGAAGATCATACCAGGAGAAGGTTGAGGTTAAAGAGCTTGGACCTGATCAGCCAAATATTACCATTAGTCAGCAGTCCAGCGACAGGGGGAGACGGTACACTCGTACTTTTTCCAGGACCTGGTTCAGCGCCAAATCTTGGCTAGCAGCATGTAGCGAGGCTAATGCTTTATTTTGCTTTCCATGCCTCTTGTTTCAAACATCAGGATCTGACCCAGCATGGATCAAGACAGGTATGACTGATCTGAAGCACTTTTTAGAAAAGGCAAAGAAGCATGAGCAGACTGGTATCCACATGCAAAATGCCCTCAAATTAGCTATGTTTGGGAAGATAAATATTTCATCCCAGCTGGATGAAAGCTACAGGGTAGGGATCAGAAAGCACAATGAGGAGGTTGACAAGAATAGGCACATCCTATCAAAAATAATAGACTGTGTCAAATTCTGTGGTGCATTTATATCTAGTCATCATATTCATAGCCCCCCCAGTAGAAAATTCCACCAGCCGCCACTGGTAGCACCGAGAGACTGTGACAAACAGGGACATCAGAAAAACACTTCCACAGGAGCAACACTGAACACATCCTGCTAAACCTGAAAGCTTTCGTTATAGAGTTGCTCCTCTGGTGCAGGAGGCTCTGGACAGTGAAAACCCATGACCCTCCACATTCATCAACATTTATGGACATTGGTCCATAAGGGGCAGAGACCAATGTCTCTACGTGTTTTTTTGTTTTTATCATTGCATTTTGCACAAACACACTACTCCTCCAGGTGCAGCAGCAGAATGGTGGCTCTTCAGGAGGTAGATTGTCGAGCAGAGAACTCAATGTGATTCTTTTAACAAGGAAATGGTTAATTGCAGGCAACCAATCAGAGCGCAGCAGGAAGCCAGATTACATGCTTACATGCAATAATGTGCTCTTGGTCTAAAAATGCCCTTCCAGATATTCTTAAGCCAAGTTCAATTCAATTCAATTCAATGTATTTGTGTATCAACCTAAATAACAGCAGTATTTATCTCAGAGGACTGTACAAAGCTGTCAATTTTCCGACACAGATCAGAGAATCAAACCGTTCAAACACAGGAAATGCAATGGTAAAAAAACACATTGGTTCATAAGGGGCAGAGACCACTGTCTATAAATGTTAATGAATGTGGAGTGTCCTGGGTCATCACTGTCCTCCTGCAACAACCCCATAAATCCAGTGGGAAAAGTGAGCAACATCGGGTTTACATCCAGGACTGAGGCTGTAGATCCAGGACTGAGGCTGTGGATCCAGGACTGAGGCTGTGGATCCAGGACTGAGGCTGTAGATCCAGGACTGAGGCTGTGGATCCAGGACTGAGGCTGTAGATCCAAGTCTGAGGCTGTGGATCCAGGACTGAGGCTGTAGACCCAGGACTGAGGCTGTGGATCCAGGACTGAGGCTGTAGACCCAGGACTGAGGCTGTGGATCCAGGACTCTGGTCTTAAGGGGGGAGGTGGTCCTGAGGCCTTCTGACCTCTCGGGTCTCCTCCTGACATCAATCCTAACAACAGCAGCTCTCTGTCGGATTGTTTAGCGAGTAACAAGAGCAATCTTACACCTGCAAAATATCTTTATTGGCTCCAAATTCAGGCCTGGATTGAGTTTTGTGACGTCTGAAATTCTGCTGTGCCAGCTGTGCCTCACAGTCTGGGGAGAGAAAACACTCACACAATATGATCCTGGTTTGTGAAATATGTTTTGGAAAAAAAGATCTAATGATGTTCTACGTGTGTCAACAATCTGTGTCAAGTGTTGAAAATGAACACGTCCTGATTCCGCAAACAGAGAAACTAAGAGACAACAACCGAGATTAAATGAATGTCAAAACAAACCTCTGCCTCTGTGTGAACGCTTTCATCTGTGGACCTTTCTTTAATGTGTTGGTTGGAAATGGAAATGTTTTAGAGCTGAGACCTCCCCCATAGGTTCAGTGCCTCAGCTTTAAGGTCTCTCACTTACATTGGATTTGTCATTCCTCAAAAACAACAGACAGACAGCACTTGCCGAGACTTTTTAGTTTTATTTTGGGCTGCACTCCGAGCTCTAAATGACGGGGCTCCTCTCAGAACTTTGACCCTAACCCCCCACACGTCCTCTGCCCCAGCTCTGCATCCATCCGAAGAGGAGCACCAGGAGAGAAGCACAGAATATGAATACCACCGGTGGATGTGTCTAAAAACAGTACAGTCTGACAGCAGCACGAGTGATGCAGGCTGGAGAAGCTATCTTCAGCGTCGCCATGGCAACGATCCAGTTTAAGTTTACAAAAACAACTAGCTATGCCATCATTTGGGATTAAGTTGAAGAGGCAGAGCTGGTTCATCAAAGCGGTGTCACTCTTTCCTCCATGTACAGCCTCAGTCCTGGGTCCACGCCCTCAGTCCCGGGTCCACGCCCTCAGTCCTGGGTCCACGCCCTCAGTCCCGGGTCCACGCGCTCAGTCCTGCTCGTTAAGGTGGAAGTCTAAAGGAGATTTCTAAATACTTCCTTTATTACCTGTTTAGATAAAATGTTATTGTCATTACAAAGTCAAAACAATGCAACAAAATGCAGTTTAGCATCAAACCAGTTTAGGATAATATTCACCAAACAGAAAAATATTTGTGCAAATATGTGAGACTGTACGAAGCTACATAATTACATTACTTTAAAGTGCATCTAACGTTTACAGTCTCAATGATATTATTAGAATATATCTCTTCGCCAATGCCATTTCCTCGATCTTAAATGATTCCACATGGTTTGACTGATAATGAGTCACTCTTTGAAGCAATCATAAATTACACAAGGGACAGAAGTGGAAATAGATGGAATAATGTCTAAATCATTACCACGACAGAATGAGACGAGGCGTTTGTGGAGCTGACAGTTTATTGTGTGCTCACCGCAGCCAGACGCCACATTTTCGTCACAATAGGGAAATTAGACAAAGATCAGAGACGAGATGTTGATTGTGATTGTGTCGTTAGGAGTTTGAAGATTACTGAACAGAAGAATTAAGCGGTTTAATCACTAAATACAAACTGAGGCAAGCTGAGGTTCCATTACATTATTTACACTAAGTTCTTAGTGGAAAATATTTATGCATTATTTTTGTCCTTTGTATGGCTATAATATTGTTGTAACTCCAGACGCAACTCAGAGAAGAGACTTAAAAGCAGCTTTGCATCCGAGACATGTTAGTGCCATATGAACCAACTCTGAGGAGCACAGGGACTGGCCTCCTCCTGGGACTCTGAGGAGCACAGGGACTGGCCTCCTCCTGAGTCAAAGTTAAACACGGGGATGCCTTGTGTATGAACTGTGCTCTACGAATAAACTTGCCTTGCTTATACTACCACCAGAGAGAGGAGTTTTATTCTGGTCGTCTCTGAGGTGTGGACACTTCTGTTTTGTGGGATCCTCATGGAATATGGTAATGTTGAGAACGGTGACCTGAGCCTTGTGTTGGCACCATGAGCCAAAGCAAATTCCAAGTGTGTGAATTCCTGTTACTTACAATGACAATAAAAATAATTCTGATTCTGATTGAAGCATTTTTCAATAATATATTTGATGTTATTGATATCTGCAGCAGGGGGACCAAACCCCCTGTATGGACTTTCAAGCACTACAACTACATACGTTGTACAAATAAATCAATCATAACTAACTGTGAGCATGTGTTTCTATGTTTCTGTGACATTTACATTTCATCTTCAGCGGAGGACGTGGAGAGAGCACTCGTGTGTGTGTGTAGCACATCTTGACAAAATCATATGAATTTGTGCATATTGTTGTCGGACTCTTTGATTCGATGAGGCCTTCTCCTTCAGTAAAGCCGTGTTTGGTCCAAAGTACTGTGACATTTAGTTTTGTTCTTTTGGTTCAGACCATTATGTCACAGCATGTACTTAGTCAGCATTTTATTTGGAACAAAAAGAGAATTCCTCTTTAGCAGTTATGTGTTTTGATGCACTGACATTATGCAAATCCAGGAGAAACTCGTGACTTTCTCAGAGTCCGAGACGCAGAATCGCTGTGAAAACGTCTCATTACTTTTCACTTTGAGCACCTCTCAAAAATCAGTTTCTGAACTAAAATTTTTGAACTTGTTTTTTATGTTTCTAAATTGTGCTTTTCTAGTGAAGGTGAATGTGTCAACTTAGTGTTACGTCAGAACAGGGCCATTTGTTTGGTGAGCTACTCTGCAGCAACATCAAAAGCAGAGAGCTACTCTTTTATTACACACATTAAAACCCTGTAGTCTGTTTAATAAAAACAATATGTATTAATGTAAATTATTATTACTGAAGAAATTAAGGCAATCTAGAATGTGATGACGTCATGGTAACAACATTCTATTCAGCCCAGTTTGTATCTATGGATACAGTTACCATGGGAACTAGTTGCCATTGGATAATCTGAAATTCTGATGTCACAGGATTCCAAGGCTTTTAGGAGGAGGCTTCACACACCATCTGGTTTCACACACCATAACAGTGTAACACACAGTGGTTTCACAGCTCTCTCGGGACAACAGCCGAGAACATGACAAAGGAGGCTCAGGTCCGGGATGGACCTGAATCATGGACCGAGGAGGCCCAGGTCAAAGCCCAGTCTTCCCTCAACCTAATTTCCATCATATGCTCAGACACGGAGCCTCTGGTGCGTTCATGGTGGAACAGAGCAGACACTACAGACCTGTCAGACCCTCAGTCCCTGAAACATCTGGCAAAAGGTTGTTTGGAGATGATCGACGCAGTCTCAGAGCAGATCCTTAACACTTTAACTACATATGTGTTAGCCGGGAGTGAGCGAGAGCGCCCTCTGCTGCTGTTAGAAGAAGATGTGAGCAGAGCCCTGCTGCAGACCCTGAAGGAGAGCTTTACAGCTGCACTCAGCACACACACACATCCGTCCATGGACCAGCTGCTCACACTGCTGACTGATGAAGTGACCAACAACGTGAACTCTGCTCTGGGCACCAGCACAGTGCAGGACAGGGGTCTGCTAGTTTCTCAGGACAGAACATATAGGACACCCAAGGACAAACTCAAAGCTATGGTTCGTCACATCAAAAAAATGCTGCGCTCTGTCAAGGAGAAAACAGACTGCTGTTTCATCCCTCAACACACCATTTCTCAAACCAGGGGTCAAGACCAGACTGGGACCAGCAAACAATGCTCTGTCAAAGAGCATCTGAGGAAGATATGCGTCCCCTGCGGCCCTCGCGTGCAAGATGCAGAAGAAGAGGTTTTAGCGTCCTCTGAAACGCCCTCATCCAGAACACAAGAAAAACACGCGTTAAATGCTAGAAAGACTGTGTCAGAACGTTTCTCGTCTCCCACAGGTCAGAGAGAGTCAAACAGCCTTTTGGAGTCCAACCAGGACCAGGTCAATGATGACCAAACTTTTCTGCCTGGACAAGATATCTTTCTTGTGAGATCTCCATCCACACTCCAGAAAGATGTCCAAGAAATCCTCGAGAAGGCGGCCCAAGAGCTGAGTGGAGATAGCAGCAGCCTGATCCATGACAGCAAAAAATCCGCAGCCTCTATCGTCCGCACCATCTCAGAAGAATCAGTGGATCCAACACCAGTGCCAGGACACTCTGGCACCAAGCTGCCCTGGTTACACAAAGTGACACAGGAGCTTAAGTCCTTCTTTCTCATGTGCTTTTCGAAAGCAGCCATCTGCAGATGCCTGAGGAGGCTATACTGCTTGTGTGGTCACTCTCCGCCTTCGAGCAGCGAGGTTCAGAATTTGACAAATGAAGCGCTCAGATTTCTGATGCAAGAACCCTCAAACCAGGACGTCTATGAGAGCACAATCTCTGGGCTGAACGACGCCATGGCCATGGGCGATGGGCTCAGTGAGGAGAGCTGGTCGAGTTGGGAGCTGTCTGAGTCCCTCACCAGATCCCTGCAGCCTTGGATGCAAAACCTGGTATTAAGAAGAGCTGCTCATGAACAAGTGAGGTCCCTGATCTGTGATATCTATAACTGGCTTCAGCGTCAATTCCACACCTTGGCCATCGACAACCCCGTCCTGAGGGCTTTGAGGAAGATTCGCAAACTGGTCATCAGAACCCATTCTCAACCCACCGTTTCCACTGAAGAAGAGTCACTGTCCTCTGTAAATGTAGAACCAGCCGAAAGTTCCGGATCGGAAGACTTTGACAGTTCAGCAGCGGTCGACATGAGGCTCAGCACACAGTGGAATGAAGACGACTGCAACGGTCTGGTTTGTGAAGTGGTGAAGAGGATTTTCCAAAATAAAGATCCTCCAGAGAGAATCACACTGGCGCAATGTCTGTTCGACGAGCTCAACGCTGAAATCCAGAACTGGGACGTCCAAGTGCAGCCTTGTCGACAGAACTTTAAGAACACAGCAAAATGTGTTTATAAGGACCTGATTCATGGGATAGAGAAGGACTATGTGACCCAGGCTGTGTGCATCGTACCCGGATACATCGATACCATCTTGAACAGCATTCACCAGCACCTGACTGAGCCTCAACAGAAGAGGTCAAAGCTGAGAGCCCTCTGCATCGTACCCGGATACATCGGCACCATCTTGAACAGCATTCACAAGCACCTGACTGAGCCTCAAAAGAAGAAGTCATTGTGGAGAGCCTTCTGCTGTTGGAGATAAGCGTGGACCAGTGTCTTGAAGTTCTTCTTCTTGACATGTATTAGCTTAAGTCACTTAAGCTATATATATAAAAAATAATTAAAAAACTCTCACCTTTCGCCCTCTGCGGGCGGTTATCCCTCTCTAAGCTCGGGTCCTCTAACAGAGGCCTGGGAGCTTGAGGGTTCTGTGCAGTATCTTTGCTGTTCCTAGCACTGCACATTTCTGGACCAAGGTTTCCCGAGGCTGTTCCATCGATCCGCTGTAACCACTCTTCTAGCTTCGGCGTCACTGCCTATATTATATATATATATATATATATATATATATATATATATATATATATATAGCTTGTGGGGGAGGTTGAGCGATACCGACTAGAGATAGTCGGCCTCACCTCCACACACAGCTTGGGCTCTGGAACCCAACTCCTTGAGAGGGGTTGGACGCTCCACTTTTCTGGAGTTTCCCGCGGGGAGAGGCGGCGAGCTGGGGTGGCCATTCTCATTGCCCCCCATCTCAGCCGCCACGTGTTGGAGTTCTCCCCGGTGAATGAGAGGGTCGCGTCCCTCCGCCTCCGGGTGGGGGACAAGTCTCTCATTGTTGTGACGGCCTACGGGCCTAACAGCAGTGCAGAGTACCCGGCCTTTTTGGAGTCCTTGGGAGGGGTACTGGACGGTGCACCGCCCGGGGACTCCGTTATTCTCCTGGGGGACTTCAACGCCCATGTGGGAGACACCAGTGACACTTGGAGAGGGGTGATCGGGAAGAGCGGCCCCCCTGATCTGAACCCGAGCGGTGTTCAGTTGTTGGACTTCTGTGCCAGTCACAGTTTGTCCATTACGAACACCATGTTCGAGCACAAGGGTGTCCACCAGTGCACGTGGCACCAGGACACCCTAGGCCGGAGGTCGATGATCGACTTTGTTGTCGTATCATCTGACCTTCGACCGCATGTCTCGGACACTCGGGTAAAGAGAGGGGCGGAGCTGTCAACCGATCATCACCTGGTCGTGAGTTGGATCCACTGGCAGGGGAAGAAGCCGGTCAGACCTGGCAGACCCAAGCGTATAGTGAGGGTCTGCTGGGAACGTCTCGCTGAGCCCCCTGTCAGACGGACTTTCAACTCACACCTCCGGGAGAGTTTCTCCCAGGTCCCGGCGGAGGAGGGGGACATGGAGTCCGAGTGGACCATGTTCTCTGCCTCAATCGCCGATGCGGCGGCTCGTAGCTGTGGTCGCAAGGTCTCTGGTGCTGGTCCCGGCGGCAACCCCCGAACCCGGTGGTGGACACCGGCAGTAAGGGATGCTGTCAGGCTGAAGAAGGAGTCCTATCGAGCCATGATGGTTCGGGGGACTCCTGAGGCAGCTGTCCAGTACCGGCAGGCCAAGCGTGCTGTTGCAGAGGCAAAAACCCGGGACTGGGAGGAGTTCGGAGAGTCCATGGAGCATGACTATCGGTCGGCCTCGAATAGATTCTGGCAAACCATCCGGCGCCTCAGGAGGGGGAAGCAGTTCTTTGCCAAAACCATATATGGTTTTGGCATATATGGTTGGTGGAGAGCTGCTGACCTCGACTGGGGATATTGTCGGGCGGTGGAAGGAATACTTTGAGGTTCTCCTCAATCCCCCCATCACGTCCTCTGTTACAGAGGCAGAGGCTGAGGATGTTGGGGCGGATACATCCATCTCCCTGGCTGAGGTCACCAAGGTGGTTGGTAGCCTCCATGGTGGCAAGGCTCCGGGTGTGGATGAGATCCGCCCTGATTATCTAAAGTCTCTGGATGTTGTAGGACTGTCTTGGCTGACACGTCTCTGCAACATTGCGTGGCGATCAGGGGCAGTGCCAATGGAGTGGCAGACCGGGGTGGTGGTCCCTCTCTACAAGAAGGGGGACCGGAGGGTGTGTTTCAATTATCGTGGGATCACACTCCTCAGCCTCCCCGGTAAGGTCTACTCCAAGGTACTGGAGAGGAGGCTACGGCCGATGGTCGAATCTCGGATCCAGGAGGGGCAGTGTGGTTTTCGTCCCGGTTGCGGAACACTGGACCAGCTCTATACTCTCCATCGGATACTCGAGGGTTCATGGGAGTTCGCCCAACCTGTCCACATGTGCTTTGTGGATCTGGAGAAGGCGTTTTTTTTCGACTGTGTTCCCCGGGGTGTCCTTTGGGGGGTTCTCCGGGAGTACGGGGTCGGGGGTCCTCTGCTGAGGGCCATCCGATCCCTGTATGACCGGAGCCAGAGCTGTGTTCGCATTGCCGGCAGTAAGTCAGACCTGTTCCCGGTGAATGTTGGCCTCCGACAGGGTAGAAACGGCCCATCTAGTCCTCATCACAAACTGTTCCCCTCACATTCTGTTCCTTCTGACGTCCACTCTCACTGATTCACGGCCTTCTCCGAATGTGAAATTCCTCTCGCTTCTGTCCACACGCCCATGACACTCTGCTCGTGTGGCACAAACACAGACTTCATCTTTTAAGGATAAGTGTGCGAAATCAAATTAAAACAAAAATCAATCAACATTCAAAACAGAAATCCATTTCAGTTTATTGTATTGTTAGCCTTGTGTGTTGGTAAACACATGCTGTTTGCACCTCAATCCATTTACATCCCCTTAATCCATTTCTAGGTTGAGGGGGTGGCAATCAGCTGCCACTCAATTCACAGAGCACCAGCCCCTCACTGATCCTGCAGGTGGTGAGTCCACAGGAGGATGGCTGAAGGCAAAGTGGGGTTAAGTGTCTTGCCCAAGGACACAACGACAGCAGACATCAGTGGGAGTCAGTGAAGAAGGTCTTGTGGTGTCTTGTTTGAACCCACGACCTTCAGGCTCAAAGGCTCTACCAACTGAGCCACTGTTTGCACCTGGTTTGGTTATTTTCACAAAGCAGTCAACTGAATGATTTAAATGAATCCGGTTATTGACAATATCAAAAGGTCATAAAAGTGAAATGGAGGTCAGGATAATATGTAGGGGTTCTCAGGCCTCTGCAGTTTGGCTTAGTCCAGATTAACAAATCCTTTTTGCTGAGGAGTGAGTTGTTTGTGTAAATAGGTTGCATTATTTTTGACAAGTCACTGGTTTGGGAGTGAAATCCTAAATTAACTGAGATATTTAGAGGAAAAAAAAATCTTCTCATCACTTCTTTCATTAAACAGTGGTCTTCAGTGACTTCTAGCCAACAATTGAGATCAGGGCTCATAAGAACACTGGTAACTAGTACTTTTATACTATTATATCAAATATCTTTGGTTAGTGCAGCTAATAAACATTTAGAGCTGTAGTTGTGTCCATAATAGTTATATAACAAGTTACGACCATACATCTCTGTCCCACATTTTGAGTTAAGAAGTAAATTACTCTGTAATTGGAAAACGGTTATAGTAATTTGATTACTCCTGTAAATAGTAGATTTCGCTTTCCTGCCAGTGTATAGTTCCTTGGCTATGTCTGAGAGACGTGAGGACAGACTGAGACAATCTGAAGGCCTCATGAATCATGCATCCGCTTTAGATAATGAATGGAGCCTTTCGCTGCTTGTGGTCAGACGATCTGTGCATCTGCATGTGAGGAACAATGTCAGTGTGAGGAGAGGACCACATGAACAATGCCCCAAGTGTTGTTTTGGAGATGTGGCCATACATGACATAAAATATCATGAAAGTGCAGTATATTTCAGAAACCATGACCTACTGTATGTCTCTTAGACATGTTGAACATGCCGATATACATCTTATACTAATGTTTTCTAAAATACAGTCGTATTAACTTTAACGTGAATCTCACAACTTTACTAAGTCACTCCTGTCTGCTCACACCCTGTAAAGTACTGCTTTCTTGCTTAGTTACAAAATTATGGGAAAGGATGGAAGAATCACATGAATCTCAAAATAGGATTTCAAGTTTCAGCGGAAATCCAGTAGCCTTTACCCAAGTTTGTCAGTCATGTCTTTAATAAAAAAGTGAGTATTTGACATCATTTCATTGCATATTTAATGCACAAAACTATGTTAAAAATGACTTTGGCGCTGTTGATGGATGGACACTGAAGAACAATTAGATTTGGACCAAACCAAGGGACAATCAATGGAAAGAAGAAAAGCTTACACTATGCATTATCTGCCCACATCTGCAGAGGAGCACACATAAAGTGGTTCTAATCACAGTTACAGGCTTCTGTTGTCCTCCGAATGGATCCAGTCAATTGCACCATTGTCTGCAAAAGTCCATGGAGTTGCTGTAGTCACTCACTCACTCTGGAACTTGAAGCGTTTTCGGTAATGTCAGACTCTATCCCTCTGGTCTCTCCAAGA